AGAAGAAACAGTAAACCAAGATTGTTCCATAATTGCGTTTCTTTTTTTCTTCTGTAAACATTTTTCTTTTTTTTTTTCTTTTTTGAGTATAGTCCTTAGAGTTTTGGTTGTGTATATAAATAGACGTAAAATATTTTACAGAACCATTAATATATGTCACGAGGCACACGTTTCTAATATCTTTACTATTTTTTTCCAATCGTTAATCCTCATTGGTCGGCACGTATTTATAGACCCCCTTAGCCATTGACACGTAATGGCATATATTCATGAATCATGAATGATAGATTAAATTATTTTGTTAGTAGTGTTTCAGCTAGAGGGATATATGCTTTATTACTTACTTAAATCTCTATAAGGATGAAAATCACTACAACAGAATTGTTAAATACCTTCATTCAAATTGAAAAGAAGAACACGACTACAAAGTGATAACCGAGTCTAAATCATAAACCAAACTTAACCAAGTATTAAACCATCATAAACCAACATAAGTATAAACTCTAATGCAGTGATCAATGATATCATTGTATGGACTTATAAATAGTGTTGAATTTGAATCGTATCAAATTGGATAATGTAGTGTTAAATCGTATAGGGTTGTACGTATAGAATTATATCATATGGAATTGATCAATGTCTTAGGGGAATAAAGGGAATTGAGTCATTTGCTTATTTAATTGTATATGTGATTAAATATGATTGCAGTAGAACCGATTCGCATAATCTTTAAATAATTGTTGAATCGCATGTCTTTTAGTGGAATGAAATCGTTAATCAATATTGTTTTTTTTAATTAATGTTGATTCGGATTTTTACCATCCAATTAAAGTTGAAAATAATTAGTTATTTATTTCCCTGAATCATTATACCACGACGTCAACATCATTTGTTTATTGAGTGTTGATGTTTGACTTGATCATGCATATAAGTGTGTGTTTGGAGCCACTCGTTCCTCTCCACCAATCTGATGAGCTGAATATCCCGAAATATCATCTATTGTATAAACATATGGCTTTCTGTTTCCATTGATATGTTGTTGGTCTATTAGGCCAAATTCTGATCAAATTGCTGGTCTCATGGGCTTTTAAATTGCGATTTAGTGGTAAAGCCGACAGCACAGACACCTATGACCCAACTAAGAAACCCTGATTATGGTATTCCTTCAAAATTAAACAAAACATAAATAAATTTGGTTTTGTAAATCATCACAGAGTGTGCATGTTGTTGGCAAAAATAAATATAAAATCATCAAACAAAATCCCCTCTTAATCTCTTCAAGTTTCAAAATAGTTGTCATTCTAACCTTAATTT